GTCATTTTTTTTTGTTTTTCCCCCCCCCCCCCCCCCCCGAAAATTGATCTCTTTTGTGTAAGGTTTACAAAATATATTACTTCGCTTTTCATGAACTTTTACTTCTTCGAAGATCAATATTTAACTTGAATTGAAGAATAAATAAATTTTAATTAGATAATAACGTATCCAAAAATATAAAAATGGCTCTTTTTTGTTTTTCGATCATTGTATAATAGAAAAAAAAGTAAACTAATCACGGAATAACTTTTTATACTAGAAATTCATTGGTTAGAGTTTGGATTGCAAATCATTCTGTCTGTATGGGAAGTAGAGAAATTGGGAATAATGAAAAATGAAAGTGAATAATTAATAGTCAAATGAGTAATATTGTTTACAATCATTCACTATCACAGTCGTCCTACGTGGCACACATGTGGCGATTAGTGATATGCATTAGGCAATAAAAAAAACTATGACATTAATATTTCAAATAACTAATTATTATATGTATGTTACGTAGGACGACTGTGATAGTGATTGACTATAAATAGTATTATTCTAGGTGCATATAGCGAATACTGAATAACGAATCACTAATGTGGGCTGGTGGTCCGTGTCTACTGTGCATTGGACTAAATAAGTCTCAGCTTCATTACTCAGGGACATTGTACCCAATTTTTTCAATTTTTTTTTCTTTATAGTAATTTTCACATTTAACCCTTTTTTGAGAAATTTTTCATATATTAACTAAAAAACAAACTATTTCGCAAAATATTGTTTATCATTTTTCTTATCGAAACATTGCTTACTTTTATTTTTTCATTTTGTTTTTCTTTCATTATGAAATGCATTGTTTAACTTTTTTTTTTTTTTTTTTTTTTTTTTATTATTAAATTCATTTTTTTACTTTTTTTTTTTTTTTTTTTTTTTTTATAATTTTAAACAGAAGACCTACAATTGTAACAATTGTACTGTCCGTTGCTGTCGTCACAATTGCCACCAATGCTATTACATTTGTGTAACGCTTCTAAGAAACTGCATTATGCCTTCCATATCACTTCCATTATCACTACCAACTTCATTACATAAAATATAACACTTATATAAAATGGAGTTACACAGCTGTCACCATCGCCAAGTTCTATCTATCGTCGTCATCACCGAACAACCGTCATTGCAAGAAGTTGGAGAAGCTCAAATTTCAAATTTCTCCACCACATCCTTCCCCTAGAAACCATTTCAAACTTACATTTCCAATTTTTGTTGCCACAATTACCACCACACAGAGATGGATTTGGGGGGCTGGGCTGGGCTGGGCTGTAGCCCCCCCCCCCCACTCAGGCCCAATAACATTTTTTTAAGGTATTTTTTATTTTCTTTGGTAAAAAATCAAATTTTTATGTGTAAATTTTTTTCCCGCATAGTAGCCCAATTTGAAATTTTGTAATCCGGTCTTAAATTCAATCCTAAATCCGTCCCTGCCACCACATATTGACACCCATATCCTAAATCTCACCACCACCACCATCAAACTTTTACATCTATCTGTTTTTGCATAGAATTAGAGCGTTTCCTTATGGGAATCTCAAATTTGGGATTTCATGGTGATTACAGAAATTGGGTTTACACTATAGATTTGGGGATTTGGATTTTTTTTTGGGAGGAAAATGAGTGGAAGATAGTATTTTTGGAAAAATAAAGGTAAATAGTAAAAATGGAACTTGGAAACAAAGCATAGTCATGTAATTTTATCCTTTTTTATTCAATTCATTTATAAATATCGAAACATAGACAGTTTGATCTCAGTCTAAACTAAAACATTGATATATACACGTAGAATCAAGCCAACAATTTTGGCACGATTTGACAATTTAATCAATTAACCGTTCAACCTTTTTAAACGTAAAATTGGTGGATTAAGTGAGTTCCACAAACACATCATTTGATAAAAAGTATAGTAATCTTCGTTGGTGAGACGTATATAATAAGTAACAGTTGAAGCTTAAATAAAAAGATTGCACGTGTTTATTGCTCAAAATCTATCATGGAAATGAATCCAAACAGATAGAACCAAAAATAAAAAATTAAAAAAAAAAAACGATGCAAATTACATAATTTTTTAACATACCAAAATCTCATGAAATAGAAAACATTATCATTGGAAAAGAACTTTGAATTGCGTGCCTAGCGCGACTTTAAAGCCCCCCATTATTTTAGTGAAAAATGTTAAAGGATTGAAAATGGTTGATAGAAAAGGTGACCGCTTCTCGAGTCAAGATACATGTACTGAGAAATTTCACAGATATTTTACAGACAATACTCAACAATGGGTGGTGATTTATTTTCTGTAATAAAATATTTACATGGGGCCCATCCCTATGTGAGAGCCTGTAAAACTTCTGTGGATTTTTTCTTCTGTACACAGGGAATAATCCTCGCCTCTCACATGCCATGGATCCCACTTAAATAAAAAATTATTTCTCCCCCCATTTGTGGAGTCTCTGTCAGCCTTCCAATTAATATAGCATGGTTCTATTTTATTGATCACTCCATCAACCCCAAGAATGGAGCCATGTTGAGACGAGTGCAAGCATATGCCTGACACTGATATTTTAGGCTCAAATCTATGATTTTGTTTATAATTTTATCATCATTAAATTCATGATCAAAACTCAATATTCGACATGAGTTAAATTATGCCTGCACTGAACAAATTTCCTTGCTCCACCCCTGATCAGCCCCATGTCAAGTCTCTTGGATGATCAATTATTTCAACAATTTTGATTAAAATGGGATGACACAATTAAGAGGACAACAATTGTGGACTCAATCAACCCCTTCTCACTCCATCAGCCATACATCAACTCTCTTTGATGATCAATTATTTCAATAAATTCACTTACATATTTTTCTAATGTTTTGAGTGTTTTGGACCTTCTATTAGTAGGCGAGTACTTAAAAACTCTCGGGTAAATAAATAATATAAACCATCCTAACAAATAATTGGCCACTTGTTTTGTCACCTACATAATGCACGTATGATCCTACATTTATTTCCTTTCTTTTTCATTCCTATTGCAAATAAATATGCCAGCATAGGTCACTTACTGAAAGTAAATAGATTTCCAAGTCACATTATATTTTTCATTAATGTGTTTGACGCATAATTAAAATAAAAATAATATTATGTTACTAAACATTTGACATTTCTGTTCCTTGATTTTGAATAAGAATCTGTATATGACTCTTGACTCTAATGCACATTCGCAGCCATATTCTAGAAGATGTGAATATATATATAGAAAGAGTGAAGATAGAAAGTTAGAGAGAATTAGAGAAGACGGGTGCAGATGGAAATCTGGGTTTGTTCGAGACAAAAGCGGGAAAAGGGAGAATTGCTTTTAAGCTATTTTCTTTAACAATACTGTTGTGTATTTTTCTGATATGGTTATACAGATTAATGTATATACCAAGAAAAGGAAAGGCAGGGAGATATGCTTGGATTGGGATGTTTTATTTCTGAGGTTCTGTTTGGTTTATATTGGATCATCACTCAGATAGTTCGTTGGAACGTTGTTTATCGGTATCCCTTCAAGGACAGACTCTATCGCAGGCAGGTTCCTATTAATTTAATTTAATTTAATTTTTTTCCTCTTGTTTTTATCGTCCATTTAGTTAGACCAACTTAGTTGCTTCTTCTGGTACTTTTTTTTAATCCAATTTCCTTATTTGTGACTTGAATATGTTCCCACCTTGCAGATACGAAGACGAATTGCCAGTGATCGACGTTTTTGTTTGCACTGCAGATCCTATATTAGAGCCTCCATCACTGGTAATAAACACGGTTTTATCAGTAATGGCATACAATTATCCACCTGAAAAGCTGAGTGTTTACCTCTCTGACGACGGGGTTTTAGAACTGACATTCTATGCCCTCTTGGAGGCCTCTAAATTCTCAAAATATTAGACAAGAAATTTGCAGTCGAACTAGAGGCAAATCTAGCATTAACGTTCAGTTAGGGTGGAGGTTGACTTTGACCGTTGATCGTCGACAATCAACGATCGTAAAAGCCCAATCCGGTCGGTGGCCGATCGTTTATTAAAATTTGATTAAATAATATTAAAAATTATTCAATATATATGTAAAT